CAAATGCTCGTGCATCATTTGTCCTTGTCTCATGTCATCATGCCGCATTACTCTTCTGACCAGACAGTGTATTCCGAGTTCAAACATCGGTCCCGATCGATTTCAACCCTCCTGGACTTGCATTCCTGCAGCCTATGCCTTGCCTGCACGTTCCTTCGCCTCTCTTATGGGCCTTACGTGTCGCACATTTTGGGCACCAGACGACTACCAGCCTATTATGCATTTATCCGAGTTTAACTCAACTGCATTAATTTTGAAGCCCCGCCTTGAAAGCGCTCGCGGTTGGAATCAGCCTCAAGCCGTCGCAGTGGCCACGTTTTAACGCGGAGCCGTCATAAAACTGGTGAAGCAGAGTAAGAAAAACAAAGTGATAATCGCCTTTTCACTGGGCTCCTTAGGCTAGACCACCAAGTGGCTGTGTCGGCGAGTATTTTGCTTTTACAACCAACCTACGGGACAAGGCTTTGTCTTTTAATTCATCATCAAGGGCAAAATTGACAGATTGAGACAGTTTACTGTGATCAATCTTGATGCTCTTACTGACCAAATTTGTGCGATGTGTGCCTACCTGTTCATGCACACACGATAATGACTATGCCAGGAGCATGTCTCCAAATCAATCAAACCGTGGACATGCTAAGTCTGGAGCACTTTGTTGTCCAACTCTGTCCTATTTACGAATGTGAAAACTTTGCAAACTTTCGTCAAGCACAGCAATGCCCGTTATGATTGACAAAGCTATTCCTACTCAGATGCTATTTATGGCAGGAGTCTTAGAAAAAATGACTAATGCAAATAAAAGACAGAGATTTCTCCTTACGAAGTTGACGACCTAGACGCTGCTAGTTCTTTTGTTTGCCATCAGCCGTAAGCCCCATTGTGATCTTCCATTTTGGCATTGATTTCAAAGGATGCTTTCTTATGATGCCAAAGTTTTGTCTCAGGTGCCTCTCAGATGCTATTAGTTGATCTAAGGTGGCACTCTGATGCCACGTTGTTAGTAAAAATTGAGTCTCTCAGAGGTATTGCTTATTATTCGGTTTTTCGACTGCTCAAGGCAATAGCGTAGCTACTAGTCTTTGATGCAGCCGGGGACCTAGAGAGTACCTCTTCCAAAGACTCGTTTCTCCAATAATTTGGATTAATTGCATATTATCAACAACAAAATCGAGCCAAACAGCTCCTCTTTACGTGAAGATTGAGTTATGTAAACCGACCTTTGAAGGCTTGGCTGGTTGTACAGGCACTGTAGCGTCAATGTGCCTACCCCTGAACAGGAGTGACCTGGGTGGCAAGTCTGTCAGGCATAACCCTTTGCACAGATAGTAACTGAGAGTAAATGCAACTGAATCCGCCGAATATTTGCCAAGATTGCAAGATCAGTTGATTCGCGGCGATCCGATAAGGAAACGTCAGTCAAGCCAAACCTAATGTAAACCTCGGGCTGGTTGATCGGCATGGCATCATTTTAACGGCGACTATTAAGCATATGATTGAGTAAAGAACTTGTAATAACTTATCATAAAATTGCAACGACTAAAAAGTTTCGAATCATTTTAGTGAAAAGGGCCTAATTCAGAATCAATACGATGCCAAAATTAACTATTTTTACCTTTTGCATGCGAGACATTGTCTTGATATAAATCAACCTCTGAAAAGGCTTCAAAGCTTGGTATTTTTGCTAAGACGGCCCAATTTCATCTTTTGAGAAATAAAAAGCACTTGATATTCTGAGATACATTCTATAAAAAGCAATTTATATTTGTGAAAAGTCAGATATAGCAAGATTTGTCATGGAAACTTGTAAGAGAGTATTTGAATATTATTCTCCTCATAATAATTTTAATATCCGTACAAGTGCAAATGCTGACACGGAGACTATTTAGGCTGGAGCGTAGGCCACCAAATGCAACCTAATTTCTCACAATTTTGTCATATCTTGTCTTCTTCGGGTCTCCGTATAGATTACGACACAGAACTCTGGACTTTAAATATGAGTCTCGATTATGAATATGCCAGTTAGATATTTGTTGTGACAATTTTTCACTGTTAATTAACTCATTGACTTATTTTTTATCTTGCTTACTAAACTAGGCCATAGACAATTGGTCAGCAAACTGGTACCTCCGTAGCTTTGGATCACACATTATGACGGATCGAAAATTGTAGAAGAGAAGCGTTATACCAGCCTTATAACCGAACAAATATTTCGTGTCATGATAACCAGCAGCGTTTTCATGCTACGTAGAATTTTTAGAAAACATTTTGTTCACTCAAAAATCCCCTGAGAAAACAAGGTTTTGGGGCTTTTATTTC